TGAGACAAAATTAATATGAAACATTAATAACTTTTAAAAGCAAGTTACTCTTTTATTTTAAATGGAACAGTATATTATTCCAGTGTTCAATGGGGAATTTATATATGTTCAAAATATTATTAAGGTTGCCTACCCCTCAGACAAAGATTTTCCTAGATATTTTAATTTTTATGCTTTTGTGTCAGTAGATCTTTATTATTTGAAAAAATCGAGGGTGGCTGTACCTTTTGTTAATTTAACAAAAATTAAAGATTATAGAGTAAATACTCAACGACAATAAAAAGATACACGTTTAAAACATATTTTAATTATTACAGAACTAAAAGTAGATATAAACCTAATATATTATGTGACAAAAATTGGCTAGATGAAGTCGAATGCTCAAAATGCTTCCTTTCCTTTTAACTTCATAAAAAATGATTGTCTTTTCAAAAGGATCTTTTCATTTTAAAAGGCATATTTATGTGTGGAGTTCTACGTGCTACGTGCATAAGGGTTATCACTGGGATATTTTTCTAAAAAAAGCATGTACACTTTTTTCTCTTGTTAGCGAAATAATGTAAGCAGGTTAATGTCTCTTGATATTTTGTCGATATCAGCCTCCTTGATGAGATAAACGCAATTTTATTAATTTGCCTTGATCCAAGTCTAATAGCAGCCTTTAAAAATGTTAAATATCATTAACTTGGGAAAGTTTTAAATAAGTACTCATTGATTTCTCATCAAAAAATATGAAAAAAAGTTCCTATAAATATAGGTATAGAAATGCATAGTTTTAGAGTTACAGGATGTTAAACCTTTTTAAAATTAGGTTTTTTGTAATTATCTTAAATACCGTAAAATGGGGTGAATAGAAACAGTTTCGTAGGCTATTAGCGATATACCGGTTGAAAAAAATGTGGTATTATTTTCCCGAATATTTTAAAACATGGGTCTTTGTTCTTTGCGTATACATATAATTTGATTTTTGAAAAATATGCATATAAATATTAAATAAAAATAACATTTGTGTTTCTATTCACCTGTTATTCGGGAGAATAGGAAACACACATTGATCATTAATGTTTTTATCTATTCTATTTCCAACAAGGTGATTAGAAACAGTAAATTATTACATATTTAAGTAGGTTTAACAATAATTAACAATACATATAATATGACAACTTACATGTACCAGTTTATGTATTACTTTAAAAATAAATATTTTATTTATAAAGTTTTCGCGCCATACAAAATAGGTGATAAATCGATCTCACATTTATGGATCAGCTGATTGACAGAAACAGTGCTGCCACAGATAAAAATATAGTTTTTACATTTTATTGTGTATTACCAATGATAGAAAAATTAGATATGTCGACTCTTTTTACTTTGAATATTTTTAATCGTGATTTGATTTTTTTCAGAAATTTTGTTTCTATTCACCACTATGTTTCTATTCACCCCATTTTACGGTACCATAATTTTTTTATTTGAAATTGCTGTAGGAGAGACTAATAGTTATAATAACTAATATTATTTATTACTAATAGTATATTAATTATTACTAATAGTAGTAATAACATTCAATTATACCGGCTGCGTCTCAAAAGTGGCTCACCCCTATAACTTTTTTTTCTGATAAAAAAAAAACGAGATTTGGTATGTTAGTATAAATTAGGATTGATTGGTGTATTCAATTGTTTTTGGTCACTTCCTGTTTCACCGGAAATGACTACAACTTTTGATTTTTAAATAGCACCCTCGGTATTTCTTTACTTTATTCGATAGAAAATGACATTCTGAATAGAATGACATATCATATGTCAACTTTTGACATTCTCGCTTAATAAAAAATTGTATTTTAAAATTCAATCTAGAGTGCCAAGGCTATGTTAAAAGCACAATTCTTCATCAAGGAGCCTTGGAAAAATAGATTTTATCGTCTAATGTTTTTAGTGTCTTAAAAATCGTATTTTTAATCATAACTCAATTTTTTCAAATGGAACGAGGGTGGCTCATTATCATATTTGGAAAAGCATTTTTTTACGAATAAATTGATTCCACACACTTGGTATTTCAACTCAAATTTTCGTTACGAACCGCAAGTTATAATTTCAAATAAACCATATGCGAAAATGTCAAAAGTTCACATATGATGTGTCATTCTATTCAGAGTGACATTTTCTATCGAATAAAGTAAAAAAATACCGGGGGCAAAGAGTAGATAAGACAAGAGACGACAGTGAACAAAGAAGTCGAATTTCGCGAGAGAGACGCAGATATATTAAAATTTAAAGGTCCCATCAAGTCCCATTTTATCTGTTGCCAAGTATATTTCTTTGAAAAATAAACAAGATTTTCTGAAAATAAATTAATAATATAAGAGAAGAATATAAGTAACGTATGTTAATACGGAAATGTAAATTTTGCAGTTTAGGTTGGTTTTGGGTTCTTTTTTTTTTCGCAATGTACTGTTAATATCAAAGAAACAGAGTGACTAACTAAGTTGATCGATTTCAAAGATAAACGATAAAATCTGAAAATCTGACAACGGCGTACTTTATTTATTCTAACCTATGATTTTAGGACGCTAATCAGCTGTGCTAATCAGGCTTAAACATAAACAAATCTGATTAGTTCTTTTCTTGCATTTTTGCCTTTTTAAAGTGTGTGTTTTTAGAGTTTTTCGATATATTATCGTTTTGAGAGTTTTAAGGTTTAATTTTAGTATCGTTTTTTGTTGCGTACTAATTTGTAATTATTGTTAAATATGAATACTGAACAGGACACGAGTAGCAGGAAAAGACGAGATGGTGGCAATAATGTGTGCTTATAAAGACTGCAAAAATAGGTCTTATTCTTCGACAAACATAATATTTCACTAGTTTCCCAAGGATCCTGAAAATTATTTTTTAGAAATATACTATATAATTATGTTATTAAACTAAACTAAATGTAATCCATAGATCGAAGACATGGTTAGAAGCTTGTAATATATTTTTTACAAAGAAAATTGAGCAACTCTATTTTTTTGTACATAAACTCCACATTGTGATATTGTAGAATGGAGGGGGAGTTAATCACCCGCGACTTTATAGATCTATTGTGTGTTCATTGTAATATTACACTTGTTCAAGTCCATATGTAAAAAATACACGTAAATAAAACACTTCTTACAAATCGACTTGGTCACTTTAACTTGTTTACCAACGATATACAAAATATTGCTTTTATTATCTTTATTCCCCGACAAATATGTTTCTAATTATAATTTATTTTATATAATATTTATAAAACTCATTTTTTTTTCGTTTCTATTTTTTTACCCATACAGTAACTATTTATAAGCTATACAGGCAAGTTTTAATAATAGTCTATTTCAAATTTCCCGCGAAAAAGTTACGAAAATTTAAAGGGACAAGCGAGACGAGGTCACTCTCCCCACCACTCAAACATGAAAGGTACCGCGCGAACTGTCGTCTCTTGTCTTATCTACTCTTTGCCGGGGGTGCCATTTAAAAATCAAAAGTTGTAGTTAAAAAAAATAAAAAAGTTATAGGGGTGAGCCACTTTTGAGACGCACCCGGTATATATTATATAAATTAGATAAAATATATAATTTATCAATTTCATTTTTATTTTAATTTCATTAATTGTGACTAATAAAATTGCGTTTATCTCATCAAGGAGGCCGAATTCGACAAAATATCGGGAGATAATTTTTAATTATAGTCTGTCCAACGATAAGATCCTTGACAGTGATAGATGTGTCTGTCATTTTAATTTCAAAGTAGTTTATTTTATTTTACAAAGAAATAAGTTGGTACAACTGGAACGCATAGCAGGAAATATTTAAAATTTGACTGACAAGTGATTACTTCAAAATATTGTGAAAAAAACTGCATAAAACTGAAAAAATGTAATTGAGTTATTTTATTTAATCAAAACGGTATGTGTTAATACAAAACAAACACGAACAAGACACCATATACCAAAAAAATAGAAAAAAGAACTATTTCTTACTTTCAAGCTTTATGAAACTTTTTTTTTGAAACCCGCATTTATGATTACATTTATCAATATAACTTATATATACAAATACAAATTTGTTATATTCCACAGGAATAAATAAAACAACATAAATAAAACAAACTATTTTATTAATAATAACACTTACCAAATTTTATACCTTAAAGGTTGATTAATTAACTTTAATCTTAATATTTTTAAACCAGTACCTTTTGACATTATTTTTCTGCAGTACTAAAATCCATTATTTACCTATCGTGTGATGTCGATATTTTACAGCTACTCCAGTTTTTAGTATGTGTTTAGTATGGTCCTACCATATTCGAGATGCACTTATCTACGACGAGATGGTATACGAACTTTATTGGTGTATAAGACTTTCTGCTTGGGCAGCGAGTATTAACCATACACTGTGCTCTGGGTCTACAGTTAATTTTCACTCAATTTTTCCTCCACTTGGCTTCAAAAGACACAAAACACAGGTAATAACACGAATCAAAATGCATCATCTTCCAAAACGTAGGGTATTTGACAAAAGTCGACACAAAATTATAACCTATAATTTGGCAAGACTTTGACAAGCGTCAAAAAATCTAAAGGAAGCGAGTTCATACGCATCGGCACGTCCGTTTGTCGTTCATCGTTCCGTCAAACCAATAAAATTGAAATACGATCTGTCATTTTTTGAAATAAACCAATAAAACTGGTTAAAAACAACAAGAGACGACGTATGACGGATTTATATTTAAACCCATCCATAGTTAACTTAAAAATTATTAGAAACTTTTTTTAGTAAAATAAATAGATTGGTATGGGACGTCATCTGTTTTTCTTCTGTCATCGTCTGTCGAAATCTTACCTGAGAAAAGAAACAGAGTATAGCATTAAACGGCCTACACAATTTTTACTACATATGCACGTCCCGATGAATTTGTTAACACTATTATAGCATTAAAATACGTAGCACTCATAGTAACTTTTACTTTTACCCTTGATTATGTATAAATAGATGTACAATGAGGGCTTAGTACAAGCCCGTCTTCTAGGTGGCGCCTTGCCCGTTCTGAATTTTTGTATTCCCCTACGATTTTCTTTGAGGGGAATCCGTTAAACCCGCCCATCGTTCAAAAATGGAAGGGCGCGAGGTCACATCTATTGGGCCACTTATTAGCACGTTTCACCCATGTTTTACGAAAATAGCTTTATCCTTGTTTGTTTCAACTGTGACAAGAAAAAAGGAAAAAAAGTTATATTCGCTTCTAAATTCGGCAGTTTTGTTGATCTTTCTCGACTTGTAATTTCGTTTCGTTTAGGTTATGTCTTATAAAAATAAATATTTATAAGCTTTTGAATTGAAATATACCTTAATGCATATCTGAGTAATTAAAAAATTCAGTTTTTTCGTCCCTCGCGAAGAAACATAAACAGTATTTGTGAAATTTGGATTAGAAACTATTATTTTATTAGTTTATTTTGTTGTGTTTAAGTGTTGTGTATTTGTACCTACTGGATAATATTTTCCAACATATTTAATTAAGCAAAAAGCATCTGTTTTACAGGTAAGTAAATACTGTTCATATTTATTTCTAAATTCATATAAATTTGTTTTAAATCACTCTTGGGAAAAATGTTATAGAGTCTGAGATAAGTTTAATAATAAACATTTGATAGATTGATAGATAGATTAAACGATAATGCCCAGTTTGCTTAAAAGTTTAAAAAAATACTGATTTTATGCTATAAATTGTTTCATTTCTCACTTTGCTTTTTTGGAATTGTCAGATATATTGTGTATTTTATAATTTTTCCGAGAATTTTTCTTAATAACTTGATAACGTAAAATATTTTTTATCTACAGTCAACCCTGTGTTTAGATAAAGCTTCATATCAGATTTCCTATTTTATATTTTCACTCAAATCATATTTTTTGTAAAATATGCTTGCAAAAGTAGCGTAAATTTGACAGGGAGGTATTTTTATAGATATACAGGATGATTCAAATATATATTTACTTTTAAAGTTATTAGTTATGAGCAAAGGTTATGAGTTTGTGAAAAGAAAGGCTATATTTTGTATTTTTGCTTGGTGGATTTGTTATTAAATTGTCATTCCAAAAAATACCATAATGTCGTAGTCGTATAGAGTTCATTTTGACCAAAGAATATATTTTGACCCTTTTTGGATTGAATTTTATTGTTTATATAATAAAATATATATTTAAAGCCCTCTCTTTCTAAGTTAAGTTAAAAATAGGTAATATCGACGTTTTTTACTGGAACTAATTTAAGTTAATAATTAATAATTATATAATTCATATAATAATTATATTAAAATAGACTAAATTGTTTATTATATACAGGATGAGTCAAAACTAGATATTATATTTTCTCTTTGCTATTTCAAATGAAACACTATTTTATATCATAAATCAACAAAGCTTTTATGCAACTTTTGTTTTATTAAGATCTATATCCCCAAATTAATAGTTATTAAATTGTTTTCAATTGTCTCTTTGGGAATAAACATGATTTTCTTACGCAATTTTTATTAGTAGGTTTGTCGACAAAAAGTGATGTATCTATTTATCAGCGACAAAAAATTAAGAATTAGATGTTTAAAATAATTTTCTAATTATTTTTTTACTTGGCATCAGTAAATATGATTTATTTTATCGATGCAGCTGAAAATAATTATGTATTCTAAAAAGAGGACATTACTGTATATACATCGATTATGGATTTAAAAAATTATTTTTCAAAACAAAGTTGGAAAAAATTTTGAGAGAAAAAAGAATTGAGTTCTGTTCGAAATAATCGAGAAAAACCCAACATCTAGTTTTGACGCCCCTAGTATATATCATCATGCATTATAGTTGATTATACTGCAATTTATTATACATACGTAGTTTTGTTTTGGTGAAAATGAAACTTTCTAAAAGTATTCCCAATTAAAACATATTAAGAATTTCCTACATTATAATTTTGAAGACGTTTGAGTGGGCAGACAATTTGGTCTAAAATAATATGTCTAAAAAATTAGCCTAAAATAATCAAAAAAAACACTTAACACATATAACTCGCTTTTAAAAAATCTAAAAGAAATAAGTTTGTTTATTATATTCATATTTTATTAAATTATTATAGGTGTGACTGCTAAGTGGTCGTACTCGCCACTTTAACCAAGCATTGGTGGGACCTTCAGAGATCATAATGCGAATTTCTTCATACCATGTAAATCTATATACATGTATTAATAAATGCGTTTGCTTTATTAAATTTTTTTTCTTATACGGTATGAGCGAAAAAAAAACGGCGTCTATTTGTTTACGTACAAATGACATCAATATTCATTTCCAAACCACCTCTGAGGCCGTTTTTTTTTATCGTATGGTATATATTTACATATCCCTTATCCTTTAATTCCGATTTATTTATAATAATTATAAAAATAAGATACCTGATTAATTTTTCCTAAATATTATAAAATGAGATATCACGAAAGAAATAAAGTTAATTATCTCGTTTGTTTTGGGAATCTAAAAAAATAAAAAAAGGGTATAGAGAGAATCTTTAGAGACACAGTTCAAATGTTATTTTTGAGTATACTGGTTGCTTCAAAAAAATGGTGGATACATGTTTTTTTAATGCAAAACTCCATTTTTATTTTATTTTCGATTCTGCCTAAAATTCTATAACTTTTTTTTATAAATAACGTTAGTAAGTATTTACAATTTAAAAAAAAAGTAAAATTTTATTCCTATGTTACTTAACTGTCAGTTGTTTCCGAAGTTGGACTACACAAATTTGGTAGGAGTGTTTTACAGAGATGAAAAAAAATATATTTATATGTAAAAATACTTGCAGTTAGATGCTACACTGTGTTCAAACATTTTTTTTTGGCTGATCCGATATATATATATATATTATTATTTTTTCTAGTGATTTTACGAAACCTTTCAACATTTGTTAAGAAAGTATATTAAGTACACCTATATACTCAACAGCTTGCAATCTGGGTTCTGATTTTTATCCTTCTTTTAATTCATTTACATTATAACAAGTTGCCATATGACAAAACAAAAATTATTTATTATTAATCATTAAGTAAAGTGATTTATTTAGTTATATATGACATTCTTAATAGAAGTTGAAGGATTTTGTGCAAAATCTATCAGAAAGAATTATAATATATCGGGTGTTTTTCTCAAAAGTAGCTTGATTGATGTATTCAATTAGTTTCGGTCATTTCTTGTTTCACCGGAAATGACTACAACTTTTTGGGTTTTAAATGGTACCGTCGGTATTTTTTTACTTTATTTTGCAGAATATGGCATTCTCAATAGAATAATTTAATGTCAACTTTTGACTCTTTTACTTAAAAAATAGTATTTTAAAGTTCAATCTAGTAGAGTGCCATGATAATAAACAACATGTAACCGGTCGTAAAGATAACGACAGTTTGACTCGACATACGGAGTGTGTGGTACCAAATTATTTACTAAAATTAGGTACCAAAATTTATTAGGTATCAAAAAATGCTTTTCCAAATATGCTAATGAGCCACTCTCGTTTCATTAAAAAAAATTGAGTTATGATTAAAATGCGAAATGGGCATATTTCAACTGACCAGGAAAAGACACAAAAAATATTAGACGACCAAATCAATTTTTCCAAAGCTCCTTGATTAATCCTTGATTAAAAAATAATGGTTTTAACACAGCCATGACACTATATTGAATTTTAAAATGCTATTTTTGATTCAATTGAAAATGTCAAAAGTTGACATATGATTGTTGATGTCAAAAGTTGTCATTCTATTCAGAATGTCATTAATTTTCTATCAAATAAAGTACCGTATGATCGAATAAAAACGGCGTCAGCAATGGCTATGAAATGAAAAGCGCTGTCATTTTATATGTAAATTTATATGAGAAATGTCAATCGATGCTCATTTCATAGCCATCGCTGACATTTTTTATTCGATCTTACGGTATAAAAAAAATACCGAGGGTACCATTTAAAAATCAAATGTATACATTTCCGGTGAAACAGGAAGTGACCGAAACTAACTGAATACGAATCAATCTCGATTTATGTCATATACCTACTAACATTTCCCAATTTAGTTTTTTTCTCGGAATCTGAAAAAATAAAAAGTTATAGAGGTGAACCACTTTTAAAAAAAAAACACGCAGTATAGGCTGTGTCATTGAAAGAGTCTGCAGATATTTTTTAATTTTAAATACGTAGAATTAACCATTAATATATGTTGAACACCCTGTAGCATCTGCCTTAAATATCTACATAGTATCTAATATTTTTTCATCATCAACAAATTGAAATATTAGAAAACTAGTTTTAGGTTACACCATTATACAAAAGGATTATATACATAAAAAAGTAGTAATAATTTTACGCAGGATCTAAAAATAAATTAGGATGTTACAATTTAAAAAAAAACATTATGTTAAATCCGTCATACTTTTACAAAGTTACAGAGGTAGGTAGGTATAGTTTCATATTTTTTTTTAATTATCCATCTAGAAATAAAATATATATATACCTAATATAATAATTTAGTATTTAACAAGGGGGCCATGAAAATCAAAATAAATATAAATCCATATCCAAAAATAAAAAATGTAAATAACGCTTTGAGGTAAAAATTCGGTTCCGAAGCAGATAAGATATTTTATTCTTTACCGAGAATTAAATTCGAAGAATTCCTAGTCCCTACTTCTTTGCCAAATTCAATAGTCTCCGCCCCTTTTTACGTTTTAATTTCTGCCACCAGTTGGCAGCATCGACTTATACAGGCACATTGACTAACTATTAATATATAAACAAGGCTTTTACGCTCAAAATTTTATTCGAATTACTAAAAGTACTTGTGAAAAATTATTAAGACTTTAACACCCTGTAGCTACGAAACAAAGCAGAATCGGGTCTATATTGATATGAAAAATAAATCTTATTTTAACGTGAGGAATCTCCCCACGAGAGATGGCACATGGTTTTTGAAACACCCCTGTATAATTAGTAAATATTAAAAAAAACACAACGATGTGTCACTTTTTTTATGACCCTGTAAAACGCTCTATATTTAAAAAAATGTTCTAAATTAACCTACATATGCTCACAAAATTTTATTTCAATACAAACTGTCGTTCTACTCGGAACCTCCGCGTCGTATGAGAAGCCCCACGCTGTATATTAATAATAAGAGTCTTTGTAATAAGTAGGTATTATTATCTCTGAATAATGCTCAGAATAAAAAAGTGTTAAAAAATGGCGGTAATGTTCGTTAACTTGATTTGATTAACTGATTAAGATATGATAAAAATATAGTCTGTCCAACGAGAAGATCCTTGACAGTGATAGATGTGTCTGTCATTTTAATTTCAAAGTAGTCTATTTTATTTTACAAAGAAATAAGTTGGTACAACTGGAACGCATAGCAGGATATATTTAAAATTTGATTGACAAGATGACAAGTGATTACTTCAAAATATTGTGAAAAAAACTGTATAAAACTGAAAAAAAATGTAATCGAGTTATTTTATTTAATAAAAACGGTATGTGTTAATACAAAACAAACAAGAACAAGACCACTACATACCAAAAAAATATAAAAAAGAACTATTATTTACTTTCAAGCTTTATGAAACTACCCGCATTTATGATTATATTTATCAATACAACTTATGTACAAATACAAATTTGTAATATTCCACAGGAACAAATAAAACAACATAGGTAAATAAAACAAACTATTTTATTAATAATAACACCTACCAAATTTTATACCTTAAAGGTTGATTAATTAACTTTAATCTTAATTTTTTTAAACCAGTACCTTTTGCCATTATTTTTCTGCAGTACTAAAATCCATTATTTACCTATCGTGTGATGTCGATATTTTAGCTTACTCAGTTTTTAGTATGTGTTTAGTTTGATCCTTCTACCATATACGGGATGCACTTAACTACGACGAAATGGTATACAAACTTTATCGATGGCAACTTCATTGGTGTAGAAGACTTTCTGCTCGGGGCAGCGAGTATTAACCATAAACTGTGCTCTGGGTCTACAGTTAATTTTCACTCGATTTTTCCTCCACTTGACTTCAAAAAGACACAAAACACACATAATAATACGAATCAAAATGCATCATCTTCCAAAACGCAGGGTATTTAACAAAGTTGACACAAAATTATAACCTATAATTTGGCAAGACTTTGACAAGCATCAAAAATGACAAAAATCTAAAGGCAGTTCATACGCATCGGCGTCCGTTTGTCGTTCATCGTTCCGTCAAACCAATAAAATTGAAATACGATCTGTCATTTTTTAAATAAACCAATAAAACTGGTTAAAAACAACAAGACACGACGCATGACGGATTTATATTTAAACCCATCCATAGATAACTTAAAAATTATTAGAAACTTTTTTTAGTAAAATAAATAGATTGGTATGGGACGTCATCTGCTTTTATTCCGTCATCGTCTGTCGAAATCTTACCTGAGAAAAAAAACAGAGTATAGATACCCTCTGGCAAGTTTCTTTTGGTACAATTTTTATGAGGTTTTCATGTGAATACACTTTTTAGTTCCATTTTCACATAAATGAATTGAGAATTGAGTCTACTAAAGCCTGCCCAACATGAGTGATGCGTGAGTGTAGATGACAGGTATTGTAATTTTTGACATTTTAGTTCACAGGTAATTTAATTTTCTTATTTTTTCGTTGAAATTTTTCCTGCCTGGCCCCTTGGACAGATTGTAGATGTGTTTTAATTTCTTGAATCGTTTATTAATGGAAAATAAAGAGAGCTATTCAGGTTTCAGGTTTACGGTTTTTTTTGTCTCACCCAGGTTGCCTTTCATACTTTATTATATATACACTTTATATATATATATATATATATATATATATATATATATATATATATATATATATATATATATATATATATATATATATATATATATATATATATATATATATATATATATATATATATATATATATATATATATATATATATATACTTTTATATTAAAACATTTTTTAGTGAAGATAATTACTGATTTATGTTAGTGTGTAAGTGAAGACTTTGCAGTGTTTTAAGTTATATACGAATTAGTTATAAGTATATTTTTATTAAATATTTTTATTTATAGAATTGTTTTTCGTTTTATTTCCATTACCAAAGTAAATCCGTAAATGGTTAATTTAATTTTGAAAAAGAAATAATTATAGGAAAAT